CTTTATCTCAGGGTTGTGAGTTTAAGCCCCATGTTGGGCATGGAGAGCACTTAAAAATAAAGTCTTCAGGGCGCCTGGGTGGCTCAGTTGGTTAAGCGACTGCCTTCGGCTCAGGTCATGATCCTGGAGTCCCGGGATCGAGTCCCGCATCGGGCTCCCTGCTCGGTAGGGAGCCTGCTTCTCCCTCTGCCCCTCCCCCCTCTCGTGCTCTCTCATTCTCTCTCCCTGAAATAAATAAATAAAATCTTAAAAAAAAAATAAAGTCTTCAAAAAAAGGAAAGAAAGAAAGAAGAAAGGAAGGAAGGAAGGAAGAATAGTACCATGCCTCTTAGGAACCCACCATCAAGCTTTGTCACATCTTCCCGTGACCGCAGGTGCCTCCCTTCCCAGCCTGAATCAAATGCTCTCCTTGCTTCCTGGGACATGTTTCTTTTGCAGACCCCATGTACGAGCTTCTTTAAACAGAGGCTGTGAGGTGTTTTCTGACACCAGCCAATTCTCTGATACAATTCGATTCATTTCTGGCACTTTCTATCTGGTACTGGTGCCCACCAGTTAAAGGGCTCTGTTCCGTATGACTGTGCCCACTTCAGACAAAATCCTACCACCCCCTTCCTCTGGTTTGATAATTTGCTAGAATGTCTTGCAGCACTTGGAGATACACTACTCATGTGTTTTGTTTGTTTGTTTGTTTGTTTAAAGATTTTATTTATTTATTTGTCAGAGAGAGAGGGGGAACACAAGCAGGGGGAGTGGCAGAGGGAGAAGCAGGCTCCCCGCTGAGCAGGGAGCCCAATGCGTCCCAGGACCCCGTCATCATGACCTGAGCCATAGACAGACACCCAATGGATTGAGCCACCCAGGCGTCCCAAACACTACTCATGTTTACCAGTTTATTATATAAAGATTCAGATGAACAGCCAGGTGAAGACATACATAGGGTGCACAATGTAAAGACTCGCAGATGCCATTCATGAGAATGGCAGGTCTGGAATGGCCAGTAGAGACCGTTCAGCAGCCCCTTCTCCTTCTCCAATTGGACAAACTGAGGCCCAGGCCATGCAGCAAGTTAATAACACAGCTGGGCCTAGAACCCAATTTCCTCGTCTGTCAAATAATGAACAGCCGGTATTTATTGAGAGTCGCCCACATGCCAAGGGATCAACCTTGGGGGGCAGGTGTTCTTAGGATGCCCCATTTAGAGATGAGGAATCTGAGGCTCAGTTAAGGGAAGGAAGCTGCCCGAGGTCTTACAGCTGCTAGAACCAGCACCGGGCAGGAGGTCACCGGGAAATTGCTGCTGTCTGGGAACACAAGGTTTTTGCCTCGCTCTGGAATTGAAAGGATCTACGTCATCTAAAGCAGAGTTACAGGAAGCAAGAAATTGTCAGCAGCTGCTTCCACATCCCAGTGGGGGCAGGAGGAGGAAAACCCCTTCATATGGAAGGTGGCCTCCCCCCACCCCAGCTGAGAATCAAGGGAGCAGCTTTGTGGGGTACAGCCAAGAGCCGGAAATGTCAACCCTGTCATCAGCAGCCTGAGGGGTGGAGGAGCAGTCTGAGGGGGGAGGCCGGGGGGGGGGTGCCCCAGAATGGGGGGAGGGGAGGAGGTGAGCCGGAGCAGGGTCTCCCACCAGCTTCATGGTGGGAGCCCTGAGCCTGAGCAGAGAGGAGGCCAATAGACGTGAACTGAGTCATCACCATTTATTCCAGGTGGGCTGCCTTTCATCCCATGCTGGGTTGTCACCCTTCTGTCACCCTGTGCCTTTAGGAAAGTCTGTCACACACAGTCGCTGTGTGTCTGTGATGGTTGGGGACACGGATAAGGAGGGACTAGGGGTCATGGTGGCCAGGCGGGGCGGGGGGGTGCCCCTGAGAAAAAGTGACAGCCAGAGAAGGTGGGGGAACAAGGGGGGGTCTGAGAATTGGACCCAGAGGGAGTGGTGACAAGAGACCGCAACAGCCTCCTGGGTTCCCTCAGAAAAAGTGGGAAAGGCTCCACACTTCCCACGGCACACGGAATGGAGGTTTGAGCTGTCTTATTTGATTATTACAGGAAAAGGTACCCCAGAAGGCTGGAGGGCTTGGGGGTGCACCTGTTACCTGTGGAGAATGCTCAGCACGGTGTCTCCACTCAGCGAATGCTTCATCAAGGACAAAGTGATGGTGGCCCCAGTGGCAGGAGGTACCGCGGTTGACAGGCAGATGGGAGCCAGATTGCTTGGGCTCAGAACCTTGCCCGTGTTCCTTTAGGTGAGTTACTTCACCTCTGCCCTTCAGCTTCTCATCTGAAAAATGGGGGTGCTAGTCCTATCTACCTCATAAGGTCGGAATGAGTGATAAATGAGTGAATGCGTATAAAGCACTTAGCACACTATCATGGCCAGCTTCCCCAGAGAAACAGAACCAGTAAGAAGAAATACAGAGATGTCTTAGCCTATGTTCGAGTTATAATACCAAAATTCCACGGACTGGGAGGCTGAAAGTAACAACCATTTATTTCTCACAGTGCTGAAGGCTGGGAGTCTGAGATCAAGGTGTTGGCAGCCTTGGTGTCTGGTAAGAGCTTGCTTCCTGGGGCACAGAAGCACTTTCTTGCTGTGTCCTCACGTGACGGAAGGGGTGAGGATGCTCTCTGGGGCCCTAGCTCCATGAGGGCTCCACTGTCATGATCTACTCATCTCCCAAAGACCCCACCTCCAAACACCACCCCATGGGGGCTTAGGTTTCAACATACAAATTCTGGAGGGACACAAACTTTTAGTCTATAGGTATATAAATATACATGTGAAGAGATTTATTATTAGTATTGGCTCATGCAATTACGGAGGTTAAGAGCCAGGAAAGCAGGTGGTGTGGCTCAAAGGACTGAGAACCAGACAACCAATCGTGTAGATGCCAAGCCAGGTCTGAAGGTCTAAGAACCAAGACTGATGGATCGCTAGCCCAACTCAGGCAGGCAGAGAACAAATTCAACCTTTTCTGTTCTATTCTGGCCTTCAACAAATTGGATAATGTTGCCCCACACTGGGGTCTGCCTTCCAGAAACACCTTCACAGACACACCCAGCAATAGGTTTAACCAGCCATGTAGGCACACCCATCCAGGTGCCCCAGCCAAGGTGACACAGAAAGTTACACACACAGCTGGGACACAGTACGCACTAGATCCATACGGGCCGTTATTATTATTATGGTTTTATGGATAAGGAAGCAGGGGTTTCACACAGCTGCGCTGGTAGGCTGCTGAGCTGGGGCTCAGAAAAGACACACACACAAAGAAACACACCTGATGTGTTGCTTTGCCAATTCCCGTGATGTAAGTATTCCCACCATGGCTGATTTCAAGCTACCAGCAGTTTAACAACCCGTTCCCCAAATTCTGGAATATTTAACAAATCAGCTCTGTGAGCCAGTCCGAGCTGACCCCAGCACGCCCCTGCTGCTCCCCCCGCAGCCTGCAGCGCATGAGGGCCTTTCACAAACATTAGCTCGTCCTGCAAGCCTGTGAGTCTACAAGGTCTCCTGAGAACCCTCCTTGCCCCTTTTACAGAACAGCAGATGGAGGTTTGGAGAAGTTCAAGCACTTACCCAAGGTCACAGCATGAGCCAGTTACTTGCCGTCCTACCTTCCTACGTCTTCTCCCTGCAAGGTGGTCGATAAACCTACATATGGCCATGGTCCCCACCTCCCTTAGAGGGAATTTCCCAGGCCCCATGAAGACAGGAGCCCTATCCTCTCCCACCTTGGCTGCTCTACCCTCAAATTCCTAAGGTGGCTTGGCAGGAGGGAAGTTCTTGTTGGCTGGGGTTCCTGTCAAGCCACACCTGCCCCGATGCTTCTGAGCTCAAATCCGTCCCTGCCACATGTGGGCTTGGGGAAGGCTGTTTTGGCAGCTGGTGAGCAGAGGGCCTTTATCCTTGAGTTTGCTGGGGGATGGGGGTGTGTGACTCACTGTTCTTGGGTGGGTGAAAGGCTGTAGCTAATGGGAGGGCCAGGACCCGGCCCAGGAAAGACTTTTCAGCCCCGCAAGCAAGCTGGCCCCATGCCAGGTAAGGGCTCAGGTGAGTCACACTGCTAACAGTGGCCTGAGGCTGGGCACAGACGTCCTCCAGGCAGGGTGGGACAGCCAAGAAAGTTTCATGGCTCTTGGCTCTTGCTGTCCCCTGGACTAACGTGGGGTCTCAAGCCAGCAGCTGCTGAGCTCACACTCGGGGCTGCCAAGCTCCGCTTGCTCCTTATCTTTGATGCTTCCAGGAGCCATGCAACTGAAAGGACATGGGAACACCCGTCCCACCACCTCAGGCCCCAGGGGAGAAGGATAACTGCTGAGTGGCAGGTGCGGGGGGTAGAGGGGAGTGGGGAGTGGTTAATAAGCAGCATATGTGCTAATGGGGCAGGGTCCTCAGGTCTCTGGAGAAGGAGGCTGTTCCCTCCATTCTGGGGTAGCCCAGAGGAATGAGATGCTCTCAAACTCCTCATGCCTGGGGTAGAGAAAGGGCCCCTGATGGATGTGGTGGGACACAAGAGGGGATAGGTAGAACTACTGGGGTGGGAGATAGGGGGATGGGGGGGAGGGGCAAGGGATGATGGAAAGCCCAGCTGGTTTGGTAATGGAGCTAAGGAGCCAAGGTTGGAGCTGGACCCGGTGGGGCGAGGGTGGGGGCTGCTGTGGCTGGGGACTGTGCGGGGCACCCACCCAGGACATTCTGAAACCCTGACATTCATCCCTGCAGTGCTAGGGAGGGAAGAGGCCGCCGGGCTTGCTGAGTGGTGGAGCATGGGGTTTGGTGGGGGACAGGGCTTCAGCTGCCCACGAGCCTGCGTCTCCAGGTTGGACCCCTCCCAACTCCGCCCAGTTCCCAGGGTCACTTACTGTGTCCTCACCGAGTGAGAGGAGTGGCCCCTTCTGGATAGAGCCAGAACACCAGGTTCTAATTCTGATTGCGGGTGAGCTTGGGTAAGTCTCTTGCCCTTTCTGTGTTTCAATTACCTCATCGGGAAAACCAAATACCTACCTCTCAGGGGTGCTGTGAGGTTTAAATGAGAGGGTGGAAGGTCCTGGCGCCTAGCAGGTGTTCCACCCATGTCAGTCTCTTGGGGCTGGGGCTGGGCAAGAGGTAGGGACAGGCAGCTTCCCCATACCCTCCTCCTCATGTGTCCTCATGCTTGGAGTCAGCTGGACCCTGACCAGCCGGCCTAACTCAAGACTGGACCCTGAAAGCCCAGGATCTAAGGACAGAACCTCCCCTCCCCACCCGGGGAAAGGGCTTTCAGTCTCCTTGACCCCACTTCTGGCCCTAAAGACCTCTGCAGCCCCCAGAGTACTTAGAGATCCCCTGGAGTTAGGGAGGCCAGAGAGGGACATTCTTGATCTTCTGGGACGCAGCCTGACTTTCTGGGAAGATGGAGGAACAGCACATTCCTCCTAAAATAATTGTCCTGGAGTTATTTCCAGAGGCTCTTAGTGCCCAGGCCAGAAACAGCCAGTGATCCCAATGCCTGGGTACCTTCAGGACAAACGGGACAGAGGCCCCGCCCTCTCGCTGGCTGCCTGCCTGGCCCCCAACCCAGAGCAGATCCAGGCCAGGCTGAGGCCCCACAAGGGAACTCTTAACACCACTTCCCTGGTCCACTGAGTTCCCCCACACCTTTCTTCCTCCTTCTTGGGGGCCCTCTGATCTCTCCTCTTGGCTCCCCATTTCAGCAACGATAACCACCCCACCCCAGGACCAAAAGGCTCACTGGCTGTGGGCTGGGGAGGGCCCACGCAGAGATTTCCATGTTACAGCACTTGATGATCCTGGGTCTGGTCATTCAAAAAACACTGGATTAAACCCAGACTGGAGAACCCTCTCCAGAACGATGTGCTCATGCTCTTCAAACATGTCCAGGTCACAGAAGACAAAAAAGGGCTGAAGAACAGCTCCAGGTTGAAGGAAACCAAAGACACCTGAGAACGAAGGCCACACGTGCTCCTGGCTTGGATCTTGCATAGGAAGAAGAGTTGCCATGAAGAACGTCAGAGGGGCAATCAGCAAAATGTGGATGTGGACCGTATAGTAGATGATTATACTCTCCCACGGCCCAACGTCCTGTATTTGGTCATTGTAGTGTGGAGGTGTGAGATGTCCGGGATGTCCCTTCGTCCTTGGTGTGGGGACTATTTCATGCCGGGCCTCGCAGATGTGATCTGTTCTTCTCCCGGACCCAATCATGTTCTGCCAGATCCTGGGTCAGGCCACGAAGCATCTGAGCTCCATCCTCCTCTTCGTCTTTATTGGAGAAGGGGATATGGGAGCAGAGCTGTATGTCTTGTGTTTGGTATTATTCGATCCAGATGTCAGTTGGGGTAGGAAGCATAACCCAGAACGCTGGAACAAACGGGGTTCCCGTGATCAGTACAAGTTCTACTCAGTGAATGTAGATTACAGCAAACGAAAGAAGGTCCAGACTTCTAAATGAAATGTTTTACTAAAAAGCTGCTTAGAATGAAGGTCTTCCAGAAACCATCCGCACAACTTTCCGCTCATCCAGGAAATATTTCCCCTCTAAATGCATGAAATCATGTTGGTGCATCGTGTTGGGGTTTACACGGATTAATAAATATCTAAAACTTGAAAAAAAAAAAAAGAAAAAAGAAAATGTCTCTGTTCGTTCGGCATGTAGGAGATACACCCCCAAGTGTTCAGGGCTAAAAGATGCTGCTGTCTGTAACTTCCTCTCAAAATAATAATAATGTGTGTGTGTATGTGTGGTGATAAACATGGCAAGAGCATTAATACTTTGTGGATTTGGATGAGGACTACATGAGAGTTCATTGTCTTACAAGTTTTCAGGAAGTTTGAAAATTTTTCAAAATAAAAAGTAAAACTGTATATATTTTTTTTAAAGATTTTATTTATTTATTTGACAGAGAGATAGCGAGAGCAGGAACACAAGCAGGGGGGGTGGGAGAGGGAGAAGCAGGCCTCCCGCGGAGCAGGGAGCCCGATGTGGGCCTCGATCCCAGGACCCTGGGATCATGACCTGAGCCGAAGGCAGACGCTTAACGACTGAGCCACCCAGGCGCCCAAAACTGTATTTTTAATATTTGAGAGAAGGACATGACGGAGGGAGGCTTTTCTTGGCAAATACGTCCTGAGTGCCCCCTAGGGACCAGGGCTGGGTAGAGGGCATGGAGCTTCTGAGATTTGCTGGCTGAAGAGTCCTCAGGCTCTGGCCAGAGCCCGCCGTGTAGGAGATACTCTATGCCAGGTCGCTGACCTCAGCGAGGAAGGAGAGACCATGCAGTTATGCTCAAAAATGGGTTACTCGAAGTGACAGCACTCTGGGGAGGCTCAATATGTGTTTGCTGAGCCAGTGAGAAAAGAGAAGTGACTGATGCTGACCACGGCTGATGGGAGCTATATCAGGACCAGTATAGAACTTCCTGACTCTCTGCATAATTAAACACCAGAAAAACAACAAGGAACACTGGAAAACATCCACCCCAGTCTCGTTGTAAAAATAGGGCCCATCTGTCCTGGAGGGCTTAGTGTGGTGCGGGCCTGGAGGCAGGGGCCTGGCCAGGATGACCTCTGGAGGCCCCTCCCAGCTCTAGGATTCCATGATTCTATGACATGGCCAGCAGTCTGGAGTGGTGGCATGAAGGTATCCCCCGTGGAGAGCAACAGGAGGGCTAAGTCATCTACCTCCTAAAGACAGTTGTGAGCGTGGGAGAGGGCCCTGATGGCATATGGGGCCCAGCCAGCCAGGAAGGGAAGGGTGGGGCACTGTGGGGGTCAGCCCTCAGTCACCTCCTGCATTTCCGGAGGAGGAGACAGGGTGGGGTTGGACCTGGAAGGAAAGAGTCAAGGGTCTGTACATTCCACTCGGTTCAGACCCAAAGGACAAGGGCAGCTGAGGGCCGTGGGCTGGAAGAGGAGCAGACAGCTGTTTTCTGGGTGGGACAGGCTCAAATACTGCTCTGTTCTCACTAGGCAGAATTGGAAAATGAGCTCAAGCTGGCAGTACTGGGGGAGAGAAATCAGGCCTTCCCTCTGGTTGGGGGTAGGGGAGTATTGGGGAACCAGGGGACGATGGGGACAAGGAGGGGAGGACTCCACTGCCCTTGGCTGGGACAGGAGATGGGGTTAAATGGACTGAGCATCTTCTTGGCCTGGGCAGGCCTTAGTCTCAGTGAAGCGCCCACATTCGGACCACAAGGAGTAGGAATCCCAATGCCCCCTCCTCTTGTGGAGTGGATGAAGAGACCCCAGATATCAAGACCAGATATCCTGGAAGGCTGTGACCTTACAAGGGCAGCCCCGTTGGTAGACTTGTCATACTACCTCTGCCCCTCTCATTTGGGATTCCTAAAGTCAGGATCAACTTAACTATGGGGTTTAGCAAACACCCCTGTCCATCTGGTTCTCCCCATTAGGGCCCCCATCCAGCAGGCAGAGCAGGTGTGGGGAGAACTCCTCCTTAAGAGACTGTGAAGAGGGCCAGAGTCACCCCGACATAGCATTGTCTTTCAGGGGTCATCAGACACACCCAAGATTGTACCTTGGCCCCACCACTTACAAGCTTGGAATCTGAGGCAAGTCATGTAATCTCTCTGAGACTGAGTTTCCCCATGTGTCAACCAGGAATAGAATAATGCCCACCTCCTTGATTCGGAGCAACAATTATATGCAAGACAGAACCAAAGGGCCAGGCGAGGAGAGAGTACATATAGTATTACATCACTTCCCAGATACATTTTTTTTTAGTATCAGGTGCATTGTGTTGTTGATGATTAGCTATTTAATATTACCTGGAAAGAAGGTCTCTCTCTCGGTGCTTGGAATTTCCCCATTAGAGATTCAGTCCTTGGCTTTTGTGATCTTCTGGAGTCCTTGCTTAAAAGGCAAATGGGAATTTCAGAATATGGGCAAGAGCTAAAGGAACAAGGAGACTGCCCCACATTTCCCTAAGGGTCCTCTGGCCTCGGTTGTTCCTGAGGTCTTGCCTTCCTCCCCATCTCTTGCTTTCCGAAGAATAAGATGTCTGTTTTCCAGTTTGAAAATCCCTGGGCCCAGGAGGAGGATGAGGAGTGGGAGAAGGGTGATGTTGGGGAGGCAGAGGGAACACATGCGGAGAAACGTGCAGGGAGGGGGGCATGGAGCCAAGTAGAGCTGACCCAGCTGTCTTCACCAGGCCCAGGTAGCCAGCCTCCAGGTGAGCTCACAGTAGTAGGTCAGTGCCACGAAGCTCATCTGCCCAGCAGGGATGATGTCTGGACGTCTGGTGAGCCGGTCCAACACTTCCAGCCACTTGAACCATGCCAACAATGTGTCCTTAGCCCAGACTCCAGGCTGGCCCCATGGCCCCAACGTGACCTGGGTCAAAAGTCTCAAGCGCCCCCACACCCCGAGGGGCTCGGCAGAGTTCAGTACCTGCAGCAGCACCTCCGAGCAGTCCGACAACCCCAGCTCCCCCAGACTTCCAGTGAGGAAAATCTGCATGGGCCGCCCCTACAACTCCACGTGTGTAGAGACCAGCCACCTCGCAAACCACCCCAAGGTGTCCAGGAGGCGCACCTGCCGCAGCAGCTCCCGCTGCCTGCTCTGTACGGATCGTCCCTCGGGCCTCTGTAGCCCCAGCTTCCTGGACCAACTCATCAAAGGCATCAACTACCTTGACAGATCCACCACCGCCTTCTATACCAACTGCCCCAGATCATCCCTGAGGCTGCCGAGGCTTGCCGCCAGCTACCTGGAAAGCGCCGCCAACTCCATCCACCTGGAGCACCCGGACCACTCGTTCCCCCGCAGTTACTCCAACCCCAGCACCAGCATGGCTGCCTTTGACAACTCCGCCAACACGTGCATGGTGCCGTCCACCAGGGGTGTCAGCACCCTGCAACGTGTGGATGAGCCTGCCAACGCCAGTTACTCACGCCAGCTTCAAAGCCGGAGACTCATGCCTGAGCTGCCGCAGAGGCCAGAGATGAAGCTGCCTGAGCTCCCCTTGTTCGGCAACGGGATCTTTTCCTCAGGCCATCTGCCCAAGTTCTGGGAGGCAATCTGCTCGGGCTGGAGAGCCCCCGAGCCCATCTCCAAACCCTGTAGCTGGTGGTAACATCAACCAGGAAATGGGTACGTGTCCATCAGGCTGCAGTTGTAGAAAATAAATGGTCTGTGGCAAAATGCTCCTTCCAAGGCTCTGTTGAGGGGGGTGGGGGGGACAGCCATTTAGATTGGGGGTTATAAACTCAATGACCTATAGGGCCAGGAGGGTGGAAGTTAACGGGTGAACTGGGCTAGGTGGAGAGGAAATACTTGGTCTAAACCCAGCTCTCCAAGGGGTTGTTGCTTTTTCAAGAGAAGCCAGGAATCTCATTTTTATATGCGAACAACAAATTCAAAAATGTCATAGTGCTCTGTGGGCCGAAGAAAAATACTTGCAGGTGGAATGTGAGGCCCACAGGCCTCAGTTTAGAATCCCTGGTTTATATATTGAATGGGTCACTGGGAAGTTTCCCCATGGGCAGAAATAGACTAGCTATCCATTCCCAATCCCTATTCCTCCTCTTGTGGTTTCAGGATTGTCATTGATGTAGATTTCAGTACTGCCCAATGTGAGCAGAAATAATGATGACGATGATGATGATAGTAATAGCAGAAATTCCTAGAGCACTAACTATGTGGCAGGCACTGTTCTAAGTACTTTATATATATTCTTCTAAGGATGTGGTTTTAGTGACCAAGGCTTAGGATGGATATAGAGGAAAAACTCTAGGATGGCAAGTGGGAGAGGCAACCAGGGATGGTTGCCACTGGAGGGCCTTGCCCTTCCTGGGAAATCTCTGAAGAGTGGTTCTGTCCAGGCCAGAGGAGGCCTGGAGGGTCAGAACGAGGAGGTCCTGAGTTTCTCACTGCAAATGTCTGAGAAAATGTTTCCTGGGCCATAAAGGGGGCCTCCAAACCTTCAGAGACTGAACTGATTTGTGCTGAGAAGTCAGACTCTACAAGGCGTCCAGCTCTCCACCATCCTGCTGCGTGAGGGACTATGGAGACTGGGATTCCAGCTGGTTCTACCACTAGCCTATCGTGGGACTTTGGGTACATCACTTTCTCTCCCCAGGCCTGTTTCCCCTTCAGTAAATGAGTAGGGTAGATTTGATGGGTTTAAGGGGCCCAGACGCTGATATTTCTGAGTCTGTCCTCCTAGACCCAAGCCAGGCCTGGGCTGAGAATCAAGAGTGCCCCCACCAACCCCTTGACTCTCCAGAACTCAGGCCTTCTGAGTCCTGAGGCAGCTTCACATTTCAGGCCTCAGGGCCATTTCTGTGTGGCTCTGAACTTCAGGCCCAGGCCCTTCTTGCCGGAGGTTTCCCGTCTCCTTGGAAATATGAGGGCCAACGGCAGGTCAGAGTATGGAATGGGGCTCACCTTGAAATAATGCAGAACCTGCAGTTCCACAAGATTCCATGACTCTTGGAGGGAGTGGCCTGCTCTGGCCCAGCTCTGTGGCCAAACAGAGAAGGTGGCAAGCCTGAATATCCCTACCATGAGGTCACCATGGCGGTCTCAGGAGAGGAGGAAGGAAGGGGGCATGGGGCCCTTAGTTTGCTGAATTCACCCCCACTTCTATTTCATCTCTGGAGAACAAGAGATATCCTCCCTGGGTCCAAAGCTCAGCATGCAGCACATTCCTTCCCTTGTCTCTTGCATCCCTTCCCTCCCGAGGGAGAAGACTTCGGCCTTTGTCTAGTGGGTCCTCAGTTCTCCAGTGACCCATTCCCCACATGAACATTTGTAGGAATACA